ATGAGTCTTCAAACTAACTCTTCAAGAAGCAACCTGCTGTGAGGAAGGCATGCTGGTCAACCTCAAAAAATTACAGCGGATCTTAACTCTGATTATATATATGAAACACATTTATCCTTTTTGTTTTTGTTGTTTAATTACAAAAGAAGACACAAAATAAGCAGCAGGTTCTCATTGGTCAGTTTTTTGTTTTGTTTTGTTTTGTTTTAACATTTCCTGTCTTTGTGGTGGATATTTATTACCTTTTTCCTGGTAGTTCAGATCTGTAGCCTGTTTCCAAAATTGGGAATTCACCAAGTGAACAAAAAAAAGACTTACCATGTAAGCCTTTGCCTTTGGCCAGAGATGTTGAAAATGCCAGATGCTCACTTATTTGTATTCCTTGAATCAAAAGCATGAACACCTGACCTAGAATATATTACCTTTGAACCTGGACCTAGAGAGAGGATATATACTCTGAAGGAGAATATACTGGAGGCAGGTAAAAGTAGCAGCATCAGCAACAAAGATTTCCCAGGGCAGCAAGGACAGCTGGACAGCTTCCAGTGTCAAACATCAACATATGGCACATTTGAAAATCAAGTCCAGGGTTAAGCAGCAGAACTAAACACTCCTGGTCCAGTGGCATGATTTTCCCTGTGGTCTTGGATGAAGCATTCACTTCTGTTCTCATCTAATCTTCAAGCCAGGTCAATCACTTTCCTGACAATTTTTTCAAGAAATTATTTCCATTCGCAGTCAGCCCATGTGAGTCTCTGTTATTTAGGAACAGGAACTTGATTTATAAAAGCTCACCTTAAATGCCATGAGCTATAATCTCATTAAAGTCAGCTCTTCTCTCCCCCGCCCCCCGCCTCTCTCTCTCTGTGTGTGCACACATGCGCGCCAGCTGTATATTTTGCTTTAAAAATAACACAAAGGGCAACATTTTAATACTTCCTTCACAAGACTGGCTGAATTAAGTCTAATGCATCTTAACATAAAGTGTCCTTGGAAAACAAGGCCCAGATTTTCTCCTCCTTTTACAGCTCTGGCCCATTGCCTTCAAGATACGTCTGCTGCATGCTGACACCAGGTGTTCCCAAGTAGAATTACTTCCTGGGGTTGTCTTGCTGTTAGCTTTGCAGAAGCATATTGTTTCTTAATGCCACATAGGGAGCCCTGTTGGTTTAGTGGTGAAATAAGATGCATGCAAATTGCTTGTACTGTCGAGGGACTTCTAAATGAACTGTCTTCATCCTAACTTATGTGTTGTAACTCGTCAACTAAAAATGTACATAATGTGTGTAAAAGTCTTCCAGAAAGGAGTAGCTTTAAGATAATCCATTTTCATGTCCTCAGAGTCTCTAACTTTGAAGATAGATTTGATGTAGAAATAAAAATGCTTATGTTTCAGACCCATCCACTATACACGCATGTCATACATACAAGGACACACACGTAAATGGAACTCTGGTGGCCTGTGGATAAGAAATTGTACTCTCTGATAAAAGACACACAGTTTTAATCCATCAGCTGCTCTGTGAAAGAAAGATGGTCAGTCTCCTATGCAATGGAAACCTGCTGATTGATTAGCTACCTGTTGGTTCCAATATGACAGCACATAACTATAGTAATTATTGATATCTCTTCTGTGAGTATTTATTTAAATTTTTTACACAATTATATGGAGTGCTAGCATGTCCCGAAATGCAATTTTTCCTGATCACTGCACTGAGATCCCCTATATAAAATTTCCAGAAACATTTGTCCTACATACCACTAAGTTCTCTTGGAAATTAACATGGAGGTGCAGGGCAGATAGTAATTCTCCAGTATGAATACATCTTGTGAAGGTGTGCTGTTAACCCAAAGGTGGCGCCTCTCTGGCTCTTTTAATCCATCGACTGATCTGAAAGGAGAAGAGGGCAAATCTTCTCCCATGCAAATTACAGACTCTGGTGGCTTAGAGGCAAGAAGCTGGGCTGTTCATCACAAGGCACATGGTTCAAGGCCACAGCTGCTCCACCAAAGAAGGATGGGCAATCTCCTCCCTTGCAGTTAATTGCCTCTGAAAACGTGCTGGAGGGTCAGCTACAACAACAGCAAAACATAACGAAGGTTCAGGACCAAGTCAGTTCCAGAGAGCAGCAAGAGAGTGTGTATACACATGAGTATCATGTAGTGACTGGCAATGAAAACCAGTTCTTATGGGGGAAAATTTCTTGAATATGTGGAAATAAGAAGTTACCTATGGAGAGACTCTTTTTTTTTTCAATTCTTACAGGGACTTGACAGAACTTAACAATAACAACATAGAGAGAGTTCAGTTGGCTTAGTAGACAGAAAGTGATGCTACCAAGCCAAAGGTGGGTGACTTTAATCTGGGGCCCTCAAGCCTGTACTGAATTGTTTTTGGTCAAACATTCTTCTAGGTCGTATAGCCCTGGTGTGTCCACTTGCTGTAACTCATGGTTGCTGTGAAGTTAAACACTGTGACACTGATGAGTCAAATGTGATAATGGCTACCCATGGCGGACAGTGTTTGGTGGAGCTCCCCGATTAAAACAAGCTTGGAAGCAGGAGTGGCATCCACCCCTGCTATATCCACAAGGAAATAGCTTCCCTCTGTAAACCCTAGGAACTTGGAGAAATGATGAAAGTTATACATGTGTTCGGGTCTTATGTTCATAGGTTCGCTATGAGTTGCTTACGACTTAATGGCAATCAACAACAACAACAACATGAACAAAATAGTAGAGAGACTATTCACTCATGATTCACCATCAGTGCAAAGGAAAAAGTAAAATTCTGTCATCGGGAATACAACTGTATTTCAGTATAGGCATTATAATGAATGGGGGGGTGCTTTTCCTAGTAGATGGTAATTATATAAAACATAATTAATCTGATTTTGTACGATACAACACTACAGAAGTGGTGTAATATGGTAATCGGTCTGTATGAGATAGTATATGAAGGAAACCTGAGGTAACTTTTCACAACTTTGACAACAATTGTGAAAAAAACCACACAAACCAAACAACCCAATTATCACTGGTGAACTGTGAAACTAAAGGAATTCTTTTTTTAAAGTCTCAAAAAACTTGTTTGAGTTAGCAACTCTAGCAAAACTTTGTGTCAGTTTCATATTCTCATGGAAATGTAACAGTGTAAAAGATCATACTAAAAAAGAAATCAAAGAGTGGTATGCAAAACTGGAGGAAAAAAAAACAGAAGCAAAGCAGTTAAGGAAGAAAGATAGTCTTCGATATGGACTGAAGCTCAACATCAAGAAGACAAAGATTCTCACCACTGGGCCAATTAGCAGCACCATGATGGATGGAGAAGAGATTGAGGTTGTTAACAGTTACAGTTTTCTTGGCTCCACAATCAACACTCTTGGCATCAGCAGTCTGGAAATCAAAAGAGGAGCTGCATTAGGTAAATCTGCTGTCAAGGACTTCTCCAGAGTACTGAGAAGCAACAATATCAGTCTAGAGAATAAGGTGTGCCTGATCCAGGCCATGGTCTTTGTAATTACTTGCTATTCATCAGAGAGCTGGACAATGGCTAAGGATGACAGAAGGAGAATTGATGCCTTTGAATTGTGGTGCTGGAGAAGAGTCTTGAACATACCACGGAATGACAAGAAAACAAATAGGTCTGTGTTAGAGAGGATGAAACCAGGTTTCTCCTTGTGGGCTGGGATCTTGAAGCTCTGTCTCATATACATCGAGCACGTGGCCAAGAGGGAGTGGTCCTTGGAGAAGGACATCATGCTCAGAAGGGTGGAGGGACAGCACAGAAGAGAAAGACTCCAGACGAGATGGATTGATACAATAACAATGGACAATGGAGGCAGGTGTATTGACACAACATAACAACAATGACTTCTGAACTTCATCATGCCTGTGATATTTATCAGCTTTTCTTTTAAAATAGGACAGAAGAGGCAGTGGCGACGGCGGTGGCGACGGCGGTGGCGAAAGGATGAACAACAAGTTCGACGCCTTGAAAGATGACGACAGTGGGGACCATGATCAGAATGAAAAAAACAGCACACAGAAAGATGGTGAGAAGGAGAAAGCAGAACATGACAAGCCGTCAGGGCAGCAGCAAGAGGAAGGCTATTGTCCCTGGACCAGTAGAGCATCCCCTGCAATACAACTACACCTTCTGGTGTTCCAGGAGGACCCCTGGCTGGCCCACCAGCTCACAAAGCTACGAGCAGAACCTCAAGGAGATCAGCACCTTGGCCTCTGTGGAGCAGTTCTGGAGGTTCTACAACTACATGGTACGTCCTGGGGACCTCACAGGCCGCAGTGACTTCCATCTCTTCAAAGAAGGAATTAAGCCCATGTGGGAGGATGATGCAAATAAAAACGGTGGCAAATGGATTATCCAACTATGGAAGGGCTCGGCCTCCCATTGCTGGGAGAACCCCATTCTGGCCATGTTGGGGGAACAGTTCATGGTTGGGGAGGAGACCTGAGGGGCTGTGGTCTCTGTCCGGTTTCAGGAGGACATTATCTCAATATGGAACAAGACTGCCAGTGACCAAGCAACCACAAACCGAATCCGGGACACACTTCGGCGAGTGCTTAACCTACCTCCCAACACCATTATGGAATCCAAAACCCACACCGACAGCATCAAAATGCCAGGCAGCCTGGGCCCCCAAAGGCTCCTTTTTCAAAACCTCTGGAAGACGAGGGTGAATGTGCCGTGACCCTGTCCCTTTTTGGATGGCACCGTCACTGAAGTTGGCACCATCGGAGTCTCTTGTCTTGTTGGCATGCTACCTGAGAGAGAGCCTTCTGTCCTGGACAAGAGGAGCTGGAAGAGCATTTGATGTTCTAAGAACAGGCTGACACGCAGCAGCTACAACCACTGCTGAGATCTCTTAATAAATGGTGCTAAACTGAAAAATAAATAAATAAATAAATAAAATGAAAAATAGGACAGAATAGGCAGTTGTTGTCACGTCTTCAGAGCTGTGTTGTCTTTCTGCAGACCCGATGGCCTCCCAGAACCATGACCCAGCCACAGCCAGCGTTGTTACCACCCGAAAAGGGGCCACTCCTAGCAGGGGCACTGACCAGGGCTCCGTGGCCATGAGGCTACAGCAGGAGCTCATGACCCTCATGATGTCAGGTGACAAAGGGATTTCTGCCTTTCCTGAATCTGACAACTTTTTCACGTGGGTAGGGACCATCCATGGAGCAGCTGGCCCAGGATATGAAGACCTGAGGTATAAGCTCTCCCTAGAGTTCCCTAGCGGTTACCCTTACAACGCACCCACAGTGACATTCCTCACTCCCTGCTACCATCCCAACGTGGGCACTCAGGGTAACATCTGCCCAGACATGCTGAAGGACAAGTGGTCTGCCCTGTATGAAGTCAGAACCATTCTCCTCTCCATCCAAAGCCTGCTAGGAGAACCCAACATCGACAGCCCTTTGAACACACACACTGCTGAACTCTGGAAAAGCCCCACAGCCTTTAAGGAGTACCTACAGGAAACCTACTTGAAGCAAGTCACCAGCCAAGAGCCCTGACCCGCTCTGTCCGGCCTCTGTCCGGCCTCTGTCCGGCCTCTGTCCGGCCTCTGTCCGGCCTCTGTCCTTGTGTCGCATCATCTTTTTCCCTTAATTCATCTGTCCTCCTTGATTTCTGTCCAAGACTCTGTATCTGAAGCTATGGCGTCCTTTGTGGTTTGTTATTTGGTTTTTGTTGGGTTTTTTTTTTGTTTTTAAATTAAGCCTCTGTTTGAACCTTTATGATGAATGTATTAAATACATACATATAGGGTTAGTTTAAAAAAAAACAGGACTGAATGATAATAAATTGTCTGTCTCACTGCCATGGAGTCTGAACTAAATCATACATAGCTGCACCTCCAATGGGATTTCAGAGGCTATAAAATCACGTAGAAAGAGAATGGCCATCTTCTCCCACAGAGCATCTGTTTTATTCAACCATTCTACCTTCTGGCCTAGTTCTGTGCAACTAGGGTCCATTTTTATAACTTTACAACAGGTTTAACATACCTGGAAAGAAGGTTATTTTTTAGGGTAAGCTGTGTAATTGAATGACAGAAATTGTACGACGCAAGTACAAACGGTCTCAAGTTAGTCAGATGAGATTGATGTAAAATTTATAAAAATTGGATGATTACCGTACCTATATCAAATGTCAACTTCAATTATCAATGCCAGTAAGTTTTTTGACTCTCAGAAAACTTTGGACAGAAAATTTGAGGCTTGCCTCTTCAGAAGCCTTCTCACATCTGAATGCTTCAGTAGGAATTTTTGTAGTTGCAGAACCTCTTAAGAGAGGCATTGTCAAGATGAAAATTCTTTTTTTTTAAATTATTATTAAATTTTATTAGTTTTAATGAACATTTATAGACATTTTGGGTTTTCATTCATTCATTGTTGCCCTGTTTTCTCTACCCTCCTCCCCAGTTCGTTCTTCTCCCCCACCCATGTCTGTTTTAATTGTCCAATTGCCACAGTGCTTGTCAAAGCCAGTTCTGATTAATCTCCTTTGTCAGTAAGATGAAAATTCTTGGTTGGCGAGCTTGTGAGAAGGAGCCGCCAAAGGAGAATGACTGTAACTGAAGCAAATAAAAGCATTAGGCATATCTAGGAAATGGAATAAAATTTGTAGGGAGCAAACCTTTTGAGGTAAAGAATACCATAAAGGGAATTCCAACAGAAGGTTTGAAGCTCATCTTAGTGCAGGAAGAATGTCACAGTGACTCCAGGCCTGACCCTTCCTTGAGGAGGCCTATGTCTTGATAAGGCCTGTCCTTATCCTGATTAAGTTGACTAGATGACCAGAACCTCCTAAGGCCTTGGGCCTAATCACGTACTAATCTCTGCCCCTAAATTCCTGAGCAAACTACCATTCTCCTCTAAAGATCCTTAACAGGCCCAACAAAAGGAAACGGCTTTTAGGGGTAGGGTGTTGATCAAAGGGTTGCACAATTCAATGGGGTGATGGTGGTGGTGAGGGAAATTGGAAGGATCTTTTGTGAAAAACCATGTATGCAAACTTTGTAAATAAATCAGAGTAATATATATTTGTTGTTATGTTGTTGTTATGTGCCATCGAGTCGTTTCCGACTCATAGCGACCCTATGCACAACAGCTCTAAACCCTGCTCTATCCTGCGCCTATGCAATATATATTTATTATTTTTTAAAGGAAACTGCTTTTTGTCCACCTGCCATTCTGATCTTCTCTGCTTGGGTCACTTGGTGTCCCTCTCAGGTCTACCTGATAAAGGTCTCTTTCACACTATGTGAGACCAGCCTCTGCTTCTCTCCTAACTCTTTTGTTTTTCTAACAATTACTCCCCCCCCCACCCCCAGGAAGTTAGAACAAAATAGCCATCAAATCACCATTCCATAAGCATTATACAGGCCTGCCCCAGACTTTGTGTATGTTATTGGAGAGGTAGACAATGATAGTAGCATTATCTCAACTGCTTTCTAAACAAATTTATCATTATGAGGAACTGTATTTGCTTAGGGCAAATTGCTGAAGGGCAAAATGTGAGCTGATCAGGGCCTACAGCATTTCCACTGAAATAGTGCTGTTACATGGTTTTTGTCAAGCATGACCTCTTCCCTGGAGGTATTTTTGTACAAAATCTGTAAATAGCTTACTTACAAAAAAATTATTTCCCAAGGGATCATAATTGAAAACAAAGAGGGAAACAAACCAACCCCCAGTATATACATTATATCAAACAACAAAACAGAACATAAATAGCTATATTATCATGAATAAGAGGGGAAAATAATCATTTCTTACTCTTAAAGAGAAAAGAATGAAGGAAAGGTAGAGGAGAGTTTATAAACAGATCAGAAGATGAGAATGTGTGAGGTTAGTAAAGCTAGGATGAAATCAGTAGGGAAAAGTGTCAGAGGGGACTAAACGCTTGACATTTAAAAAAAAAACACAAAACAACAAAAATACCCAAACCCCAAGATTGTATAAGAGTTTGAATCATTTTGATTACCACTAATCATTTTCGTTTTCAAGATCCTATAAGAAAACAAATAGAAATTTCCTTTGATTCCTGAAACAAACCAAAAAATAGAGAAAAAAGGCAGAGGAGGTTTTAATCATTTTGTTTTCATGTCTCCTTCAGTTCCTATTGGCTGAAACTTTGCTTGTTTTTGAAGACACTGATATTTTTGAGGAATGATGGTAAAATATCTTGATAGTCTATGTGTTTCCTACTGCCAACGGGGCCCTTTAGAGTAGTGAGAGAAGATCTTCACCCTGAAACCTACAGCATCCCTTTTCAGCAGGAAGTAGCTAAGAGAATACGCCATCCCCTTTTCCTTATGAATCAGGGT